GGTTTACCTCCATCACATTTTGCAGGAGCATGGATCACTGGATTGTCTGGATCACTGGCTGTCAGTGCAAACCAAAGTGGCTGAAATAAACTCAAGATCTGTCTTTGCCTTTTGGCTAGGACCATTCCGTTATATTAGTATCTGACATGCCCCGTCTCTGTCAGGAACCAATGTGCATACCGATGCAACTTGTGATCTAATAGGATTTTGGTTCTGTTTTGCCCTCCTTCAGCCTGTGCTCCTTCATCTCATGTAAGCAGACAAAGGGAATGTCAGATAACTGATAAAGGTCCTTTTCTTGGTTTCCTTCTTAGGACTTTTAAGCTGCAGTGGTTTCATCAAGGAAAACCACAAATGTCTTCACACAGGTCTAAAAGTAATCTCAAGGCAGGTAGATAACAGTTTTCTCAAGGAACTTCCCCATCTGTTTTTATCAGAGGTCTCTGCTCAAGCTGAATCCTTCCTCATTACCCTTTAGGAGTGAGGAGTTTGTGCTGTTCTTGTGAGGAGGAGTCCACATATCCGTCTCCTAAACCCAGAGGATTTCCCTGTCTGCTTCTTTTCTGTCATGTCTCTGTACAGCCTAGACCTCACCAAGCTCATCCCTTCTGCAGTGCTTCTCCACTTGACTGCTTTTGGTCATCGTTTTTATTCATAGCAATGTTCTTTAAAATTGCAGCTGGCTCTTTAATGTTAACTGAGTGAGTTACCAGGCAAGCAGTGACTCTACTTCAGCTACGGTGATGTTGTTGTTTTCAAACTTTCTCCAATCAATGAGTCATTAAAAGTAGTAATAAAGGGGTTTTTTGGGGCCACATATCCCTCAGAAACACTCAGCCCATACTAATTACAGTGGCTTAGCAAAGAGATCAAGGCTGGTAAGTGTGTGGAAGGGGGCACAGAACAGTAATGGTGAGAGGAGTTGAAAATAGTTGCAGGAAATGTTAATTATACAACTTGTTCACATCAACTTTCCCCTCCCATTGAAAACAAAGCTCATTTTGAAGACATTTGTAAAAGTTGCTCTCTAGGAATGAAACTCCCTTGTGTCTCAGTAACTGGTAACATGCAAGAAATGTGAAACTGCAGTAAACAAAGAACTCATCTGTGCACGGTTGTTTTAGTCTCAGTTAAAGATGGAAATGAGGTTTTTGCACGACTGTGGTGCCACATGAGGGCCAGAGCGCACCTTTGCTCTGTGGACATAATCCAGATGCTGCAGAGGACAAGGGAGATTTTTTCCACTGACTTCCATGACTTAGGACCAAGTCTGCTATTGGTTTGTTTTTGTCATTCCTGAAGAGCCACAGACTGTTTTACAGACAGTGTACTTAATCAAGGAACTTTGCAAATTACATGCCTTGTTCTGCAGTTATCAAAATGTGCATTTATGTGTGTGACTGAGCAAAGCTAGTAGTGTGTGGATGACAGTGAGGGGAAGGTATACAATAAAAATGAGATGATGAGAGATGCACAATTAATGAATTCTTACCTTACAACCAAGCAGCTTATAGCCGTGTAGTTCATGTTGCTAAGAGATTGCACTGTATTTGCTATTCAAAGAAGCAGAGCTTTATAGTATAGAAGCTGGTTCTTTTCTGGTTAGTCACTTGACCAGATTCCAGAGCCAAAACGTTTTTTGGATGTAGGTAAATCTGACAGTTACTTAACTTCAGAACTTGTGCTTATGTGTGTTTCATAGTCACAAAACTGTCAAATCACAAGTGGCAGATGGTCCTCTGAATGATGTCTGTAGGAGAATGTATGAATATTGAATGGTGGAATGTCTGCAACACTGCAAAAGACAGGAAGAAATTAATTGAGAGGATAAATTTTCATGCAGATACTGAGAGAAAATGTACTTTGAATCAAAACAAATATCTGGACAAATTTTTGTTGGCAAGATTGAAATACTGTTTTGAGTTACTTTAAAAAAAGTAGGTGAACTCTTAAAATATGTAATCTTTTTCCCCAATGAAAACCCTCTCTTTCCTTTTCTTCAGTGACTTTTATGCAAGTGATAGAATGACTGAGTAATTTTCTCAATTGAAAGTGAATGCTAACTTTTGAAAGTTTTAAAGGGAAAATTTAATGTAAGATGGAGAAAGCCAGGATTTTTCTTCCCTGTTTGTAAATGGTCTTAAGTTTCAAAAAATGCATGCGATTAAATAAGATTATCAGATCCCTGCCAGGTGCAATTTCTAATGTACCTTCAAAATTTGAGTTAGGTGATTAATTTTATACTTTCCTAGGTTGTACTTGTAGCTTGATCTCCACATATTCTCAGAGATAACGTAGCTCCATGAGCCATGCTCAGCTTAATCAAAATAATCATGTATGTGCAGGAAACCAAGGGTTAAAGAAAACTGCAACTGTTATTATTAGACAAAGATCTGTGGAAGGTTAAGAGCATTCTACTTCACCCTCTTAGGCTTTCTGTTAGGGCTGTCACTTTTCTGGCTACTTGGCATTTTTCTGGTGCCTCAGTAGCAGATTTGCTGGCTCTTTTGACTGTTACATACATGGGAAATGTGATGCAGAAAGTTGTCCTTACTCAGTTCTTTTTCCAGGGTCATCCTCTTTGAGTTTCTAGGGTTTTCAAACCCAGGTCATTGGCAAAAGCTCAGGACTTTGGCTCGTGTTCAGTCTCCAAGTTTTCTGTTTGTGGGCATGTCAGGCCAGCATCAGGACCTGTACATGTGCTTCTCTGAATGGAAATCCATGTCTTGTCCTTTCAACTGGCTGCTGACTTACACCGCTTGGAAGGAGATCTTTCACATGTGGTCCCGCCCCTGTCCAGGCATCCCTGAGAGTGGTCATTTTCCAGAGACCTTTTGTTAGAGTAGCAAAGTTGGTTTTTTTAAAGTAATTGAAATGGATCAAAGCTCTCCCAGCATCTGCTTACATTGTGCCTCTCCCAGACAGGTAAGTGCGTTTTCAGCTGCTCCAAACTGAGGCAAATTTTTAAAACTGCAGGCATGATAATAGTGACGTAAATGGTAAATCTGATTTGCTGCGAAGTGCTGTGAGCTCAGGCTTGTCTTTTCTAAAAAAAAGAAAAACGCAAAAATACACAACAAAACAAACCAACTCAAAACCAATAGACGAAATTCTTTAAAAGATTATAGTAGCGATAGCCTTGTTTTTAAACAGCTAACCAGCCCCTAGCAGAACTTGGCCTCTCTGAAAATACTGGAGCACTCAGAACCTAAAATACAGAAGATGGAAAAATTAGACTTATGTAAAATCAGTTGTACTAGCTTTTCACTGGCCACACTTAGAGGAGAGCACACTCTTTAATAAGTGATGTATTTATTGATAATAAAACACACCTGAGATTTTACTCATAATGGTAGATTTTACAGGCAGTAACCTAATAGCTTGAGCCGGCTGTTTGTGGCTCATTTAAAAACTTTGACCTTGTCCCTTCCCCACCTTGGCTTTCTTACAGTGGCCACAGCAGTATCCTTGTCTTGTAGGAACTGTGATGCATTTTTTATGAGGAAGCGCTCCGAGGCATTGAGTGGGGAAACAATTATATGTAAAAGGAACACTCAAGGCATTAATGTGTCTTGATGGTGTTGAGAAGGATGAATGTCAGTGGAAAACATACTAATTTGTTTATAAAAAAATAACATTCTGGTCAAATATTGACACACTCTAACATCTTTGAGTGTACAAGAAGTGATATGAGTAACTCTAAGCACTCAGTAACAGTTCATTAATGGCAAAAATCAGTAAATCGATTGTTTAGACCTGTGAACAGGAAATCAGACTTCTGTTCCCTGTGAACTAGGTGACAGAGTTGCTGCGGGTTCAGCCTAGATGCATAATTTTGTGTGTCGTACAGGTAGAAGATTTTAAAAGGGAATCTATCGATATGTAAATCATCCTTCCACTTCAGTAGCAAAACAGTTTTACATATAAACATGGGCTGACCACCAGCATGCAAGAAGATTGTGCCTAGAAAAATACCCTTTGATGTTAATTTATTGATTTTTATTTAGCTTGGGATGGTTTTATGTTTTTCACTCTGTTACAGTGTGTTTGGATAACCAATGAGGACACCAGAGTTGAATATTGATGTTTATTGAATAATTCATATCAAATAAACACTTTTGGGAGTCTGACCACAGAAAGTAAAAGCATTCCTTTGAGAGGAGAGAAATCAGAAATCCTTATTGGAAGAAAAGGATGTCTGCTTATTTCATTCTTAAATGTCTGAGGAGAATGCACGATTTCAAGTGGCATGATGGACATGTGGACACACCAGGGTGGGAGTTCTAGTATGGGATGTACCAGTCAGGTTCACAACTTGCGATTGAGATGCTCTGCGATGCATTAACCCTTTGCACTGTGCAGCCTCTTAGATGAAAAAGGATTTTATGTGGCAGTTTCAAGTCAAACTATGAAGTCGGTCATCTAATCTGTTCCTGTTGGAAAAGTTCCTATCTCAGTTCAGTGCTTACTGTCTGGACAGATTGTAGTGTGCAAGGGTTCAGGTCTCATTGTGTCTAAATGTATCACTTAGAATTGAAAAACTATTCAATTACAAATAATGCCTTTATTTGAAATAACTGGCGTATGTTGTTCTTTTTTCTCTGTCTCTATTAATTGACTGATTTCACTGACGTGAGAAGAAAGCATGTAATTATTCCACTTTAGTAGCATCAGAACAGATATTTAAGAGCCTGGTTTAGCCATTTGGGAACAGAAAACTGGACACACATAGTGGGATTATTTTGGGGTCTGGGCTGATAAGGAAAGGAGCACTCTTAACTTCCTAAAGTGGGAGAGCTGAAGACTCTGAGCACTTGCCTGTCCCATTCAACTGGGTCCTTTAGTTCCTTTAAGTGTGTGACAAAGCCGTTAACTTAAACGGGAACACACTGAAAGATAGGTGCAGAGGTCAGCAGCAGGAAGCCAAAAGGGAGCGAACAGAATTTTTTAGTGATCTGGCAGTTTACTTCACCAAATGCAAACGAGACACAATTATTTTCTCATTCCTCTGTTTCACTCTCCCATGCTGATCTCTTTCCTGGGTGCTGACGTTTTTCTTCTACCCTGTCTTTGCTAACATTTTCTACTAAATCAAGCAACAAGCTGCCTTTGTTACAGGTGAAGGACTCCTGAAAGTTGCAGGGGCCTGCATCACCTGGGCTGTCAGAATCCCAGTGCCTTTTTCCAAGGTGCTGGTGTTTCTCACCGTATTGGTCAATTAGGTCTACCTCATCATTCCAGCCTCTTTTGCTAGGATGCTGGTGCTTGTACGTCAGATACCTTCTGCCTGGATGCTGTCTTTTGGACAACTCATTCAAGTAGGTTAGCTGTGCCCTAGGGGTGTCAGCATACTGATCCGACAATGACCTTCTGCCAGGGTGCTGTCGCTTTTTCAGCTCCAGATAGCTGTCAAGGTCATCTTCTGTCTCTCTTTTCCCTGGATGCTGCCTCTTCTGAGTGTCTCCATAAGATGTGTCTTCCTCAACATCTCTTTTTCCAGGATGCTGTCTCTTCTCCAGGTCGCTTAAGTACTTTTTCCCAGGGTGTTGTCTTTTGAAAAGCCATTCTGGCAGATGAGCATTTGATTCTGTCCAGGGAAAAGAATAATGTTAATGAGTCCCCACAATCCTCACTAAGGAAGTTGAAATGAGAATTTGTGGAGTTCTGTGGTGCAGGATCGTAATCTGTTGCACATTATGCCTATTTAATTGCACAGTTAACTGTGTGGTCTTGAATTTGATCACTCTGCGTGACATCTGTCAAAACAGTTCTGGCACATTTTTAGCAAGGATGGATTGATACATTAGGAACTAGCTGCAGCCAGATGGGAAGACATGCAATGACAGAGCCTAATGTGTTGATTCAGGTAAATGCGTCAGATATTTACTTGAGTAAAGGGAAGTGAGTAAAAGATGCTGAGCAGCTGGAAGAAATCAGCTGCAGAAGCTGGGTATGGGGAGGAGCTGGAATTCAGCGTGAGACAGGGAAAGGATAGGGCTGAGGCACAAGTAGAAGCAGGGATGTGGACATCTGAAAGCCAGCTCAGTATTTCCAGCTACCAATCATAACTCTATTAGTATCTCTTACTCATTCTTAAGCTCTTTTTAATATTTCAGGTCTTGGATCGACATAACCGACCCTCAGCATTCATGTGAAGAGGGAGGAAGGCTTTTTCTATGGGCACTCGGGGCCAGCTCCTCTTTCCACTCTGAAAGGGCTCTGTGCTACTTGCTGGTGGCAGCCTATGTGCTGCTTCTTGCAGTCCCCAAGCCTGATTTGCTTCCACTGCTGTGACTAGTGAGAGCAGAGCATCACTCAGCTAGGAGGTGGTGGATGCTAGAGCAGCCTCTGCATTCCCAGCCACAGAAAATCCCACCTCTCTTGGGGTGTAGAAACCAGTGGGTTGAACAAGTAGGTGAATGGCACCACTCCCACCTCCAATTAACATTAGGTACAGGGTCCACAACTGAGGAATGTCCTCCACGTGTCCTCTTAGAGCTTCCCTAGGGAAGTACTTGCCAGATGGGCAAGTTTTCTGTGACAGGCTTCTACCTTATTATGGAGCTGCTCCTTAGTGATGGTATAGCATTGCCTAAGCGGGGAGATCTTGGAGGAGAAAGTGCCTTTTGAGAACTCTGTGTCAGTGTATTGCAGCAGACTGCTATCCTTCCCCTCCCCTTAGTTAGAGTAATAAATATATACATTAGAACTTGGGAACTATCCATTGCATCTCATGATCTCAGCCATGCACTGTGCCAACATTACCAGATGGATGTCCCCAGTGTTACATATACCTTTATTCATCTCTTCTTCCTTTTCAGCTTTCTTGAGGACAGACCGAAGAATGAGGCTTTTGGATCTCTGCAGGATGTCATCCAGGGGACTTCTTCCCATGTTCTCACTTCCCTCTGGAAGGGACTGCCCCCCGTTGAGGCAAACACCAGACAAGGTCAGGCAGAGGAGTAGCAGTGGCAGCTGGATAGGTGGCATTGTGGGACGGAGGTTCCTGCAACTTCCATGAGAGAGAGAACAACACAGGAGGAGGATGGAGCAAACAAACCTAGCAATAATAGCAATATTTCCAGGCACTGAAAAAGAAACATGGCAGTGCTGTAGGGACTGAAGTCTCTTATGAAGGTCCTTCCTCATTTCTGTTACTAACCTCTCAGTTTATTTTATATTCTTCACAGAATCTGTAAATTCTTCATAATTAAAACCAGGCACTTGTTCATCTTTCTGGCAGAATAAGTATGAACGTTTTAAATACCTAACATCCTGATGCACACAGATGGTTCTGAAAGCCAGTGATTTTGTTTTGCCTTCTGCCAAGAGACAAAAATAATATACCTCTTGAACTCTATGTTAAATGTTGCCCCATGAGGTACACACACATATACATGCACTATCAGTCTCCACCATACAATTCCCTTTGCTGAGGGTTCATTTCAAAATAATACTGGGATTTGCAGCACTTTCATTCCACCTTTAGTTAAAGCCTGACTTTAATAGTCCAGTAGTTTTTTATTATCTATTTCTATGCATTTAACATAGCCGTGTGTCTCTGTATTTGTCAGTATAGTAAGATAGCTATGCTCTGTTGGGCAGGGAGATTTCTTGCATTGGGGAAGGACCTAGTTTTTTTTCAGAGACATAACAACAACAACAACAATAATAATAATAATATCCTCTATTACCTCTTGTCTAGATAACAAGTGTTTTTCTATTTCTTCTAGCTAGCACCAGAATTCCTAATGCACTTATCATGGATTTATTTTCCAGTAAGCAGAATTCCTTCTCTGTAGAATGGAATAGATCTTTAAAACTAGCATAGCAGTCATTAGTTATATCTTCAGAACATAAAAGAAATGCACAATTTTACAAAGTTCTACAGATTTCTAAAATAGAGAATGAGTTCATTACCTCTCTTACTGGCAGGTTTCTGTCACTTCTGATGAAGTCCTTGGATAACAGCCCTAAGAATATCACGCAGGCTGTTTGACTCAGAGCAATCTTTAGAAGGAAAGTTAGAATCAGCTAAAAAGGAAATAATTTGGCACATTACCTGGCTTGTTGTTTCAGATTGTTGCTTGATGCATCTGCCAAGAGATTGTTTAGTCCTTTAAAGCTGTTTGCACATCTGAGCTTCAAAGTTGCCCTTTTTCTGCTACGGACACACACCGTATCCAACAGAACTGTTGCTAAGTTCTCTTTGGATGGCTTGTGTCTCTGTACTTATACTGTACTGCCTCTGGACCCTTTATGCAAATAGCTGTGAGGTAATTTAGGTGATGTGTTGTTTTCTTTCTTTTTTTTTTTTTTTTTAACTGATGTCAGAGATCTGCGTTTTGAATGCATTTTAAATTCTGATAGTTGTTTGCTGACCTCCATATATCCATGCTCGACTCCCAGAAATTGTTATTTTTCCATTCTTTAAAGACATTATGTTGAATTTCGTGTTACACAGCATAGAGAAAAGGAGGTTTTTCTCTGCTTAGCAAAAAGAAGCTTGTGTATCCTCTATTAAGCAAGCGCTATGGTGTAAATGCAGAGAGGTAGGTAATTTATTAAGCTAAGGAAGAAAAGCAATGAAAAAAAAATGTAATGGAATATTTTAAAATCAATTTCTACCATGAGTTCTTATTCTGAAGGACATTGTACAGATTTTGGCTCACAATTCCATATTTTCTTGGCATAGGGTTCCATGAACAGTACATTAGAAACATTAACATTAGATATTAAAACAGTTACGTTGCTGCTATGTGCTTCAAAAAGCATTACACTATTGTAACTAGAAATAAGACTCCCTCTAACCCGTCTGTCTATTTAAAGTATTCTTCCACACAGTACTGCTTAAAACAGATCATGCAGGGGGCACAGATAAAGAACTAGTGATTCTTTGATAATCTTAGTGATCCTGATGACAATATGTAGGACTAAAACTGGAGTATGGCTTGCTGATGGTATTGAAGCAATTCAGGATTCTTTTATTGTTACTACATTGAAGGTTTCAACCAAGTGAAGTCAATGTTTTCTGCTTTCCCATTTACTACCATTGTCATAACACAAAAGGTGTGTATGTTCCTCTCATCATGCTGTCAAAGTGTTTAAGTTAAAATTTGTCTTCAGCAGTAAGTAGCAACAAAACCCAACAATCTGTCAGCGTGGCTTGAGAACACCTTTCTTGGTAGGTCACTGGCATTTTAGCAGCTGTCTAGGCTGCCATGCCGCAGTCTGAGACAGAAGGCATTTTGGGGATACTCTTAAAAGCACCGCACTTAAAAGCGGATCAGTTACGCGTATAGGTAATGTGGATCCTCATGTGGCCTGTAAAATTTCCTTAAGGCAAAAGGCATTTTATGTCTGAACAAATGATGGAAATACCATATGAAACTAAAAAGGGGTGGTCAGTTGTTCTCTATCAATATGACTTATTACCCATCAGAATTTAACAAAAATTATAATCTTACAGACCTTTTTCTCCCCATCCCATTCAGCTTTATATGATGGATCAGGGAATATCCAAGAATCATCTTGTTTTCAGTTCTTTGGGAAATGAAAGCTGACTTCTTTGGGGTGACTTCAGTGGAATGTAGCCGTTACCTCAGTCTTATTCCACGAGAGTGTGGTCATCTCCCGAATTTTGGCTTAATATCCGAGGAAAAATATATCAGTAATTGTATATAGATGTGCTATTAATTACCCTGGTGTAATATGAGAAGAGTCTTGGATGTCAATGCACTTGTTCCAGATTTGCAATGAGGACAGAGGTTTGGGCTTACAGCATTATAACTGCATTTGTAACAATTATATTTAAAATGGAATGTATTTTCCTTCTTGTTTGGACTTCTAAGGGAGTTTGAGACATCATGTACCTTATGTGCAGAACATGTCTATGGCTTTATGAAGACGTTGTCTTTGCCAATCTAAGACCATGTCAATATTGTTTTCCCAAGCAGGCATCAGAACCAAATAGTCAAAAATTTAATTGCAAAGCAATTAAATTCAAAGATCAACAGGCAATTCACTGTAGCAGGCCAGTAAACAATGACTGGGCAACTGATAGTCCCTCATCCAAAGCAAAGTTTCCTCTAAAGACTTTGTATTTTTAATTTCAAGGAATGGACTAAGGCTTTCCAGGAATCTAAAGAATGCTGGGAAGTATTTTAAGTGCTTTCATTAGTACCAGAGTTGCTTGTTTAACAAAGCAATAGCTGTCTGTAGCTTGGCCACAGATTTGCTGTATCAAAATGCCTAATCCAGAGTCCACTGAAATTATCCAGATTTCTCCTTTAAGTGGGGTTAGCCATAGAACTTTGCTGTCTCTGGCTTGAAATGATCCATATATTGAACTGAATTTTAAAAAAATATTCTCACTCTTTGAAGCATGGCACTTGAACAACATAGATGGGAAAAGAGAAGGTTAAACAACTGAAACACTTTCACATGTATGAAATTCTATAAGCAAATTAACTCAAGGAACAGCTAAGAATTTGATATTAAAAATAGCCTCCCGTACGAATGTGTTTCATCTTAGCACCGAGTGAATGAGTCAGATTTCACTTGTCATACAGCAGTTGCCATACTGAATTTCTCAGCTACCTGGAAATGATAGGATAGCTAAGACTTACGCTTTGGAACTTCGTATGACTGCAATTTAATAAATCTGTATTTGCCACATATCTCCAATGTATTTAATAATATGTAATTATGAGCTGGAAATAATTCTTAGCATGTAGTTCTCCCTCCAGCCTGAAATTAATCTGGACAGCATAGAAGGCTTGCGTGTGTAGCTCCAGTTTAGATACAGCAGGAGCTGCTCCGTGCAGAAGCCTCTTACTGAGTCTTATAATGCATGTGCAGTAATGGCCAAATGCTTGAGACTGCAGCCAAGGCTCAGTCGGTCACCTAACCCTTGGTTACTTTCTTTTTAAAACTCTCTAACCATCACAAACCAAACTGTGGCCCCTGATGTCTCTGGACAAGCTAACAGGTTTTCTTCTCCATTACACTATTTCTAGCATAGTCAAATACTAATGCCATAGATTTGAGAATTGCTATTGCATCAGTCACAGTGAACCTTGTAAGGAATTACTTCACACTAGCTGCTTGGCATTTCCTGAGTGTAGTAACTCCTTAATAAGGTCTCTTATGGTGCGACACCTGAATTTGAAGAATATATTGATTTATAAATTAAAGTGGGCATTGTTGGAATGGGAACTGCGTTTTTAAACATGTCTTTAGAAAAGTGAAACAGGAGAGTGAAGTTGTTAAGAATTCTGTTGCTGGCTCCCTACAATGCTTTGATAAACTGCTGAAGCCAAGCATGCCTTCTAAATATATATATATAAAAAGGATGTTTTCATCATGTGATTGAAGGCGTCAGTAATTCTGAATACCTTCTTAATCCTACTTCATTACGTTTTTTTTCTTCATTAATCACATTTTCTCTATTCTTTTTAACATATAATATTTGGAGCACATTAAGCATTGTGGCTACTATCTGTCACACAGAGTTTATCTCTTCCACAAGGCAAGAAGTGTGTGAAGTGAATTGGCTTTTTTTGGCAGGATTTTTTTTTAATTAGATTGCATGGATAGCTAGGTTGCTACCTATATATTGTGAAGACGCAAGGTTAAAAATTTGTTTTACCCTTGGAGCACTCAGTGGGATTTGTACTGATCATAATTTCCCAATGGAGTTTATCCACAAATCTTGAGCCAAGCCCCTAATCCCAATGGGAAGTTCTCTTACCTGCACAGGTCATCAGGCAGCTGGGAGCAGTCAGAAGTTCTAGAGCCAGCAGATCTGAGTGATCTTCCTAACATGTATGTTTGGGGCATGGTCCCTCAACAGCCCTGCTAGGAAGCTAGTCTCAAAACTGAGTGGAATTATTTTTCAGCTAAAATGCATTTACAAAGAATTTCAGTTTTGAAAAAATGTTTTCTGACAGAAACTTCTTTCTGTGGTACATCCCCAGTCAGCTCCTGCGGATGGGATGTTCTTATTAAACCATCAGCTCCAGCCCTCTAATTCATGGAGGAATAGATTTGCAAGACAGTCAACACCTTCAGTCCCGTAGTCTCAGCACTTACAGTTACCAATACCCTCATCCCAGAAACAGCCTGTGTCAGTCTCTGGTCAAATGTTG